TGCCGGTTTTCAAAGGGAATGCTTCCAGCTTTTGCCCATTGAGTATAAATTGGCTACAGGTTTGTCAAAAAATAGGTATTACTGAGATATGTTCCACAAATACCAAGTTTATTGAGAGTTTTTGGCATGAAGGGATATTGAATTTTATCAAAGGTTTTTTCTGCATCTATTGAGATAATCGTGGTTTTTGTCATTGGTTCTGTTTATGTGATAGATTCTGTTTATTGATTTGTGTATATTGAACCAGCCTTGCATCCCAGGGATGAAGCCAACTTGATCATGATGGATAAGCTTTCTGATGTACTGATAGATTCAGTTTGCCAGTATACTATTGAGGATTTTTGCATCGATCGTTATCAGGGATATTGGCCTGAAATATTCTTTTTTTGTTGTGTCTCTACCAGGTTTTGGTATCAGAATGATGCTGGCCTCATAAAATGAGTCAAGGAGGAGTCCCTCTTTTGCTCTTATTTAGAACAGTTTCAGAAGAAATGATACCAGCTCCTCTTTATACCTCTGGTAGAATTAGGCTGTGAATCCATCTGGTCCTGGGCTTTTTTAGTTGGCAGGCTATTAATCACTGCCTCAATTTCAGAACTTGTTATTGGTCTATTTGGGGATTTGACTTATTCCTGGTTTAGTCTTGGGAGGGTGTATGTGTCCAGAAATTTATCCATTTCCTCTAGATTTTCTAGTTTATTTGCATGGAAAGGTTTACAGTATTCTCTGATAGTAGTTTGTATTTCTGTGGAATAAGTGTTGATATCCTTTTTATCATTTTGTATTGCATCTATTTGATTCTTCTCTATTTTCTTCTTTATTAGTCTGGCTAGGGGTCTATCTATTTTGCTTAGGGATTTTTCTGTCTATCTCCTTTAGTTCTGTTCTGATCTTTGATATTTATCTCCTGCTAGCTTTTGAATTTGTTTGCTCTTGTTTCTTTATAATTCCCTATTTATTTAATAAGTGGTACTGGGAAAACTGGCTAGCCATAAGCAGAAAAGAGAAACTGGACCATTTCCTTATACGTTATACAAAAATTAACTCAAGATGGATTATAGACTTAAACATCAGACCTAAAACGCAATACCATTCAGGACATAGGCATGGGCTAAGACTTCATGACTAAAACACTAAAAGCAATTGCAACAAAACATGAAATAGACAAATGGGATCTAATTAAACTAAAGAGCTACTGTTCAACAAAATAAACTATCATCAGAGTGAACAGGGAACTGACAGAATGGGAGAAAATTTTTGCAATCTATCCATCTGACAAAGGGCTAATATCCAGAACATACAAGGAACTTAAGCAAATTTACAAGAAAAAAAAACCATCAAAAAGGGGGCAAAGGATATGAACAGATACTTCTGAAAAGAAGACATTTATGCTGCCAACAAATGTGAAAACAAGCTCACCATCACTGATCATTAGAGAAATGCAAATCAAAACCACAATGAGATACATCTCACACCAGTTAGAATGGCGATCATCAAAAAGTCAGAAAACAACAGATGCTAGAGAGGATGTAGAGAAATAGGAATGCTTTCACACTGTTGGTGGGAGTTTAAACTAGTTCAATCATTGTGGAAGAAGTGTGGTAATTCCTCAAGGATCTAGAACCATAAATACCATTTAACCAAGCAATCCCATTACTGGATATATACCTATACACAGGTATATTTATTGCAGCACTGTTCACGATAGCAAAGACTTGGAACCAACTCAGATGCCCATCAGTGATAGACTGGATAAAGAAAATGTGCCACCTATATGGCATGGAATACTATGCAGTCATAAAAAATAATGAATTCGCCAGGCACGGTGGCTCAAGCCTGTAATCCCAGCACTTTGGGAGGCCGAGGCGGGTGGATCACGAGGTCGAGAGTTCGAGACCATCCTGGTCAACATGGTGAAACCCCGTCTCTACTAAAAATACAAAAAATCAGCTGGACATGGTGATGTGTGCCTGTAATCCCAGCTACTCAGGAGGCTGAGGCAGGAGAATTGCCTGAACCCAGGAGGCGGAGGTTGCGGTGAGCCGAGATCGCGCCATTGCACTCCAGCCTGGGTAACAAGAGCGAAACTCCGTCTCAAAAAAAAAAATAATAATAATAATAATAATAATAATAATAATGAATTCATGTCCTTTTTAGGAACATGGATGAAGCTGGAAACCATCATCCTCAGCAAACAAACACAGGAACAGAAAACCAAACATCACATGTTCTCACTCATAAGTGGGAACTGAACAATAAGAACACACATACAAAGGGAAGGGAATGTCACACACTGGGCCTGTCAGGGAGTGGAGGGCAAGGAGAGGGAGAGCATTAGGACAAATACCTAATGCATGCAGGGCTTAAAACCTAGATGATGGGTTGATGTGTGCAGCAAACCACCATGGCACATGTTTACCTATGTAACAAACCTGCACATTCTGCACATGTATCTCAGAACTTAAAGTATAATAAATAAGTTGAAAAAAAGAAAATAAAATATTTAAAACATTTTTAAAAGATAAGAAAGATCAATGAGAGAAAAGGGACAAAGGAAGTATTTACTTTACCAGTTCAGTATTATACTACACAACCATAGTCACAAAGACAGTTCAATATTGACATTTACCAAAAAATGGAACAGACAAGAAAGCTCAAGAAAATATCCAAGTATTTGTGGAAGCTTGATGTGCAACAAATGAATGTGGAAAGAATTCAATGTTTAGCAGAGTATATTGGGAAAATTCCCTCTACATATGAAAACAATAAAATCAGAGCTCTGCTTTTAACCATATAGAAATGTGAACTAACAGATGCACTGAAGGCCTAAATGTAAAAGCAGAAACTGTAGAACTAATGGAAGCTATAGAACATCTTTGTGACCAAGAGGTAGGAAAGTACTTCTTAAATGAGATGCCAAAATTGTAAACCATTCTATATTCTGAGGATTTACTTACCAAAAATCAAAGATTTCTGTTCAACCAAGAATATCATGGAAAAAACAAAGAAACCACAGACAAATGAAATGACATACTAGAAACATATGTGCAAGTCTAAGTACAACAAAGATTAATATCTAGGATAAATATGTAACTCCTATGAAACATTAGGGACATGATAGAAAATCCATCAAAAGTAAAAGATATAAACAGATAATTCATAGAAAATAACGTCAATTTTGGCCGGGCACGGTGGCTCAAGCCTGTATTCCCAGCACTTTGGGAGGCCAAGGCGGGTGGATCACAAGGTTGAGAGATCGAGACCAACCTGGTCAACATGGTGAAACCCCGTCTCTACTAAAAATACAAAAAATTAGCTGGGCATGGTGGCACGTGCCTGTAATCCCAGCTACTCAGGACGCAGAGGCAGGAGAATTGCCTGAACCCAGGAGGCGGAGGTTGCGGTGAGCCGAGATCGCGCCATTGCGCTCCAGCCTAGGTAACAGGAGCGAAACTCCATCTCAAAAAAAAAAAAGAAAAAGAAAAAAGAAAAAGAAAATAACGTGAATTTTTAATATTCCTAAGAAGAGATATTCAAAATGTACTAGGAATCAAGGAAATGCACGTTAAAACAATGAAATTCTATTTTATGACCAACAGAACAGCAAATACTAGAAAACTGAATTACACTAAGTAATAAAAAATATTCAAAGAAATGGGAACCTTCACACATTGCTGGCAGGATTGAATTGGTACAGCTAGCCAATACTGGAAAAAAATATGGCAATTTTGGAAAAAATATTGGAAATATTTCCAATATCAAAAAAAAATGGGAAAAATATGGCAGTATTTCATGAAATTAAAACAAAATTGAAACTGGATATCTTAGTAGTAGTAAAATGTTCAAATGCATATTCCTATGACTTAGAAAATTGTATGAAATTCTCTCAGGTACATAAAAGGAAAGAATTTTTTATGGGCAAAGTTGGAGGAAAAATCTGATGTCCATTTCTTGGGGAACAGACAAGGAAGAAGTGATAAGTGCATACTATGAGTACGTTAGAAGCAATAAATTAAATGAGCATATAACATCAAGGACAAATCATAAAGTAAGAAATCAGACATGGCATCTAGCACAGTACTAGCTCTACAAATCCAAAACACATATACAACAATACTACATGCTCCCTAAAAATATGTAAATATATAAATATCTAAGAACACAGATTAAATGTATTAGATAGAATAAGTGCCTATCATAACAACTTAACATTTATTGAAATGCTCAGCCCTGTTTTAATTATACTAACTAATGTACTAAAGTAATTCTCAAAATGTTTATCATTTTAATCCCTATTATATAACTGAGGTAAATGGGCCACAGAGAGGTTGATATAGCAAGTGGGTGGCAGATGTGGAATTCAAGCTAGGCAATCTGACTCCAGAGCCTGTGCTCTTTACTTCCCCTATGTTCTCTATGGACAGAAGCAAAAACTCAAGAGGGTAAATGAGAATATTCTGCAATGAATAAACAGTTAACCTCCACACCTGAGATCTGCAAAAGGAAACAAAGTCTTCAATTACAAGATCTCCTTGTTACTCACAACACCAAGTCAAGCGCTTATATAAAATGATCAGGTAGATTATTAAATATTTGACCCTTTCTTGTTCTAAAATTTTAAAAACCTAATAATTGACTTTACATTTTCTATGATAGAAGACCCAATCAGATACAGTATAACTGTGAAAAAAAGAAAAATATACTATTTTTCACTTTTCTAGGGCAATCTCAATATTATATCATAGAAATTAATTCTTAACACAAAGTAGGCACTTTCAACAGGTAGATAATGATTTTAAGTTCTAGATTTTGGCAAACAAAGAAACTGGTAGCTGTGTTTATACACGTAGTATTAATACCTCTAGCTAAACTAGCAGATTATTAAGGGGGGAATATGGTAACTTTAGACCCTGAGGCAAGTACTGCAGGGATTATATTATCATAACAGCGATGATATTTAGAGTGAAATAAAAACAAAATAAAACACAAAGTAATCTTACAGTAGAACGCTTCCAGAAACGAATAACTTCAGTGGTATTTGCTGCAGGATGAAGTAAAAAGTAGTACTTCCATTCATCCCAGTCTACTGTTATTGACCCATCACTATCCATGCTGAAATTTTTAAAAAAGAAAACAGTGCTTATAACATTTATGTCAAAGTTAGTACCACTATAAAAATAAATAATTCTTAAATCTTTATTTTGGGAGCCACTTCCTTGGACTTCATTGAAATTACTGTATTTTCATATTGTTATTAAAATGGACTTTATTTTTTAAAGCAGTTTTAGGTTTTCAGAAAATTTGAGACAGTAACACAAAGACCCCGATATATCCCCACACTCACTGTCCCCTATTGGTAACACTTCACATTATTATGGCACATTTGTTATAATTAATGAACCAATATTGCTACATTATTATTCACTAAAGTCCATATTTTATTCAGAGTTTCTTAGTTTTTAACTAATGTTGTCTTTTTGTTTCAAGATCTCAGCTGAAATAGCACATTCTATTTAGTCATCACATTTCCTTAAGCTCCTCTTGGCTATGATAGTTTCTCTCTCCTTGTTTTTGAAAACCTCGACAGCTTCAAAGAGTGCCGATGGGGTAACTGGCCCTCTAGTGGAATTTATTCCATAATGCTTTTTAATTATTTACTTGTATGTATTTCTCTAATATTTTCCCATAACAATCAGCATTCAATAAATATCTGTTGGATGAATGAATAAATGGATGAAAAGTGAATAAAACTGATTGAAGGGTAATTTTATACCTTTTGGCTCTTCAAGTATTATTTTTACTTCTGATCCTCTTCTCCCTATTTGTAGCTTTTTAATCAACTTTAAAACAACTGTTTATTTATGAATTTAAAAAGAAGACTCACTTTTTACCGTGGAAAATTTAGAATTCACTTAATTTTTAAGCATCTCAAAAAAAATTTTTTTTTTTTTTTTTTGAGACGGAGTTTCACTCTTGTTACCCAGGCTGGAGTGCAATGGCGCGATCTCAGCTCACCGCAACCTCCGCCTCCTGGGTTCAGGCAATTCTCCTGTCTCAGCCTCCTGAGTAGCTGGGATTACAGGCACGTACCCATGCCCAGCTAACTTTTTGTATTTTTAGTAGAGACGGGGTTTCACCTTGTTGACCAGGATGGTCTTGTTCTCTTGACTTTGTGATCCACCCGCCTCGGCCTCCCAAAGTGCTGGGAATACAGGCTTGAGCCACCGTGCCCGGCCGCATCTCAAAAATTTTTAAGAAGCATCAGAGGTTGTTTCATTGTGTCTAAAAGGTGGAATTAGTGAAATGTTTTTTTAAATAGCATTACTGTAAATAAAAATTCTAAGAAACAAATACTATTCTGCCAACAAAAAGATTAGTACAATTTCCAGTTCTAGCCAAGACAAAATAGTGGTTACAGAACTTAGATTGCCATTGTAAGCCAAGCTGAAAGTGGACACAATATATGAAACAACTGTTTTCAGGCACTGATCTACACACAGGACAGGGCTATGATACTTGGGAGAAGAAAAACCGAGGAGTTGAGCTCCCCATTCATTCTAATGTCTGGCTCAGGACACTCCAAATTCTAGCATAGACAAGTAGAAGCCTAAAGAAAGAACAGGTAAATAGAATAAACAAAGACTGGAGCTCAGGGCTGCTGAGAGGGCAGGAATTTGCAGGGCAAATTTTGGAGGGTGTTCCAGAAACTATACAGGTAAGCCTTTGAATCTTTGGCTGAATACTAAGCTACACTTGACTCCATCGGCCTGACAAAAATAGCTACTGGAGGACTGTGAGTTTGTAGAAATTCAGTAGCTGAGCAATACTGAAGTTCAAAAAAGAAAGCAAAGATGAAAGCGGGGGCAAGAAACATTACATACAGGGCAAACTGAGAAAAGCAGCCACTGACATCAAAGTCAGTTCTTGATAGCAGACTTTTTTTTTTTTTTTTTTTTTTTTTGAGAAGGAGATTGCTCAAGCGATTCTCCTTCAGCCTCCTGAGTAGCTGGGATTACAGGTGCCTGCCACCACGCCCGGCTAATTTTTGTATTTTTAGTAGAGATGGGGTTTCACCATGTTGGCCAGGCTGGTTTCAAACTCCTGACCTCAAGTGATCCACCTGCCTTAGCCTCCCAAAGTGCTGGGATTACAGGCATGAGCCACCATGCCTGGCTGACAGCAGACATCTTTAGTGATAACTTCAAAGTGCTGAAAGAAAAAAAAACTGTCATCCTAGAATGCCACGGCAATAAAAGTAACCTTCAAAAATAAAGGTGATATAAAGAATTTTCAAAGAAACAAAATAATCACTACAAAATTCACCTGTGGGCAATGTGCACTGCTTCAATCTGCTTTGTCTTATGATACTACATTGTAACTATCTGGAAGAATTATCTACTCTAATAGATTGAAACCCTCAAGTGGGGATTTTGACTTGTTCATAATTGCATCTTTTGTAGCTAGAGCTATGACTGGTGTCTATATGAGTTCTATAAATAAACTTTGAATAAATCATTGCTATCAGTAATTCATAATTTATCTAAGAGTATGATTCAGCAGTGTATTTCCAATTTTCCAAAAACAGTATAGCAACATATAATTTTGTGATTTTAATGGCTTATAAAATACCACTTGTCATATCAATTTTAAAAAAAGTCCAGAGATTGACAAAGCTCCCAAGTTTCTATCAAACTTGTCCTATCTGATATTTCTTTTTTTTAAAGAAAGCTTTTCTAAAAAATTTTAAGAAACCTTATTTCTTGTTTAATTGCTTATGAATAGAAAACATATTCTGTATAATTCCAGTTCTTTTTAAACTTTCACATTTCCTTTAAGATCCAATGTATGGGCAATTCTTATAAATGTCCTATATGTGCTTTAAGAAACATATATTCTTCAGTTTTCAAGTACAATATTCTATGTATGTTTGCTAGGTAATGGTTGGTGATGGTATTGCTATATCTTATCTATAATGATATTTACCATCTGCTTGTTATATTAAATACTGAGAAATCTGAGTTAAACTCTCTTACTCTAATCATTGACTTATCTATTCTTCCTTGTACTTTCATTAATTCTTGATTTATAGATTTGGGGCTATATTATTAGATCTATACAAATATAGAATTGTATATTCTGGGTAAATAAAGTCCCTAATCATTATAAAATGTCCCTTTATTTTTGTAATGTTTTGGTTTTTCATCCTTTTTCTTCTAACACTTCCATTACTTAAAAATATACCTCTTGTAACAGTATGTAATTAGAGTTTGTCCACAGCAACAGCCAAAACCAGATTTACACTGTCAAAGACTTAAAATATTCTGTCAGATAGAAGATACAGATTAATAGGATACATTTAATGTTAAGACATAAAAAAATAGAATCACAAAACAAGAAAGAAATAAGAAACTATAAGGAATTATCAAACATATTTGAAAAAGAATCAAATAATATAAACTTCTATAAATAAAATTTTTGATAAACTCAATAGAATGGTCAAGTGAAGAAAAGAGACGAAAAGAGGAATTGAAGATATATTTGAAGGGTTTACCAAGAATGACACACAGAAAAGAAGAAAGTAGAAAATATTTTTTAAAAGACTAAGAAAATGAAGGGAAAGTTATATTTTAAAATATAAAGATTGAGGATTTTCCAAAACTGTTGTAAGACATGAACACATAATTTCAAGAAGTACAACACTAATGTTGAGGAAATCTAATTAAAAAAAGAAAGAAAGCCAGGCCTATTCACTAGATAAAAGCCACAGAACCGCAAAGACAAAAAGATGATCATTAAAGAACACAGAAGAGACAGATTCCCTACCAAGGATCAATAAAAAGACTAGCCCAATCTTCCATCTAACAGTGGAAATAAAAGCAGTAGAATAATGTCTCAAAGTTCTGAGAAAAAATAATTGTCAAACTAAAACCGTGTATCTACAAAATTTCTCTTTCCAGAACAAAAGTGAAATACACATGCTTTCAGATGCTCAACAACTAAGAGTTAAGTGCCAATATAGTTACACTAAAAGAAGTTCCAAAGGATGTAGTTTATGAAGAAAAATCCTGGATGAGTAGTGTGGGATGCAAGTCAGAATGGTGAGTAAATAAGATGCTAAATATAAATACATCAAACAAGTTTTCTGCATAAAATAACAATTGCAATACCTATTTGTTCACTTTAAAAACAGAACAAAACAGCATATAAATTAGGAGAGAGGTAACTGGGGCTAAAAGTGTTCTAAACTCTGTTGTTTGAGGACACTGTACAGATTTTGTTTAACTTTAGCCTTTAAATTAAATTTGTATGGTAAAATTTCAAGCTTAACTACTAACAAGAAACAAAGTATATAAATCCAAACCACTGAAACAATGAATAAGGAAAAAAGATGAGAAAAAATTTATTAAAAAGAAAGGAAAAAGAGAAGCCTATAAATACTGTAAATCAGTATTACAATCAATCCAATTTCATTCAGTCTCTTACAGAGAAAAAAAAAAGAGAGACTACTCCACAAGGCATTCCATGAGGGCATTGTAACCTAAGAAACAAAATCAGATTAGGACTGTGGAGAAAAGAAAAGAATAAGAAATCTCAGCCATGAACAAAATGTAAAAGCTATGAACAAAATTTTAGCAAATTGAATCCACCACAATATTTTAAAGTTGTGTTTATCCTAGGAATGTAAGGATGAATTAACAAAGAGAAAACAAATCTGTAAGTTAATTCACCATATTAACAGATTTTTAAAAGATATATATTATCTCACAAATCTAAACCCATTTATAATTTTTAAAAGTCCCTTGACAAAATAGGAACTTTTTTTAACATGACAAAGATGATAAACCACTTGTAATGGTAAAATATTTGAAGTATTCCCTTTAAGATCCACAAAGAAACAGAATGCCCATCATTACCAAATATTTTTATTCAACATCATTATAGCAAGAATAGAAAAACTAATTAATTAAAGGTATAAGGATTGGAAAGAGAGAAATAAAGCCATCAGAATTCAAAGTATTATTTTCAAGTAGTATGTTACATGGCAATTTCACCTTCTGTCCCCTCCACTTCCCCACACCACAATTTATCTAGTTCTTCTCAAGCTATAAACACATCTTGCATCCTGGTTAAAAACTCAAAGATCACAGCTTGAGGCTGCTTAAAGTCACAGATATCATCAAACATGTCATTCTTTTTTTTTTTTTTTTAAAGAAAAAAAGAATAAGAAAAAGAATAAAGAAGAGGAAGCAAGAGAAAGAGGAAGAGGGAGAGAGAATGGGGGTATTGCTTTATTGCCCGGCTAGAATGCAGTCTAAATATGGGTATGCCTATAATTGTCCTTAATAATGGAGACATAAAATAAAATGAGGGAAGAGAATAACAAACAAGGAGCCAACCAACATTTCGTTTAAACTTCTAAGTTGATATGATGTGGTACTGATAAGAGTGTATATTTTGTATATTTAAAGTGGAGAGTTCTATAAATGTTAATTACGTTTACTTGTTCCAGATCTGAGTTCAAGTCCTGGATATCGTTGTTAATTTTCTGTCTCATTGATCTAATATTAATGTTGAAGTCTCCGACTATTATTGTGTGGGAGTCTAAGTCTCTTTATTAGTCTTACATGTCTGGGTATTCCTGTATTGGGTGCGTACATATTTAGGATCTTTAGCTCTTCTTGTTGTTGCATTGATCCTTTTATCATTATATAATGTCCTTCTTTGCTTCTTTTGATCTTTGTTGCTTTAACAACTATTTTATCAGAGGCAAAAATTGTAACTTCTGCTTTTTATTTATTTATTTTAGCTCTCTGGTTGGTTGGAAAATCTTTCTCCGTCCCTTGTTTTGAGTCTTTGTGTCATTCTAACCCAGTTCGAATCTACTCTATGCAGAGGGTATATCAAGCACTAGACACTTGGCAGCATTATGGGCAAATCCAAACTGTTGTAACTTAAGAGATGAAATAGCTGAAAGAGGATTTGAAAACCCATGTACCACCTCCAGAGGCTCCTAGAGTTAACTTAAGTGCTCACTTCACAGTTCTTCCTCTCAAGCCCAGGGAAGTCTGAGAATGAGCATACTCCTATTAAGTTTTGTGATTTGCAGGGACAAGAGACAATGGCAGTTTAAGGTTAAGTAAAAGGATCCAGACAACATAAGATTTTCTTTTCATCTCCACCTTCCTCTACTTCCCCCTCTCTCCTGGCCTTTTAAAATTTCTCCTTAGGATAAATTGTCTCTTTCCTTTATTGAAAAGCATATGGTTTCAACCCTGGAATCCCTTCTTCACAAGAAATCTTCCTGAAAATTTAAGATATAAAACAAATGAATGCAGAACTGTTTGGTTCAAGGAATAGCTGGAAGCCAGAAACTCATTTTGATTGTCTCCCCCTCCCTTCTCCCACAAATACACAAAGGTCACCCTTAAGAACAGTTTGAAAAACCATTACACTGGTAATATATGTGATTTCATTTGCTTAAATGGTCAAGCTAGGGAATGACTTTGCAAGTTGCTCTTAAAGGGACAGATTCCAAGTAAGGTAGAATTAAGCAAATACGGTAAGCAGGTTTATTCACGAAGTTATAGAATAGGGATGATATTCCACATTTATAGCAATTAGTTCCTAACATCAAGTATAAAACACAAGAAAAAAATATTAAAATTAAAGACAAGAACTGACCTGTTCAGAATTGTTTTTGCCTGGACTTCAGAAATATGCATACCCAAAGATTTCAAAGCAGCAATTACTTCTGAGGCATCTATTACTCCTTTAAGAATGAAAAAATATCAGGTTAAAGTATCTGAAAAGACAATAAGGCAAAAATATACTTCGAATATAAAAGTCTTTAAAATCCCATATGTTTTTGACCTATAATCCCATATCCACAAGTCAAAGCCTAAAAAACTTTTCAGAAAATTGGTACCATAGTTCATTTGGTGGCAAAATCTACTTTGAACTCATATTAGGTTAATTTTAGTCAATTACTTATCTAATTTATGTGAATATTCATGTTTCACTGCAGAAGTATTCATGCTGATAACTGCATGATGATGCTCCGTACTCCACTTGGAGTATTACATAATACATCATATATGTACTGCATTACTTTTCCAAAATCCAAATTTTAAATTTCAAAACACATATAGCCCCAGGCATTTCCAAATGAGATTGTAGGTCTATAACAGATTCTTGACTATTATACCTACTTGGAAAGAATTGAAAAAGTAAATTCTGAAGATTTGATCCACAGCCATGAAAATAAGCCCAGTCAATGTTTTTTAAGGTAAGCTTTAAAAGAAACAATTTACTTAAAACACAACACCAAACTCTTTTAACATACCATACACTATGTTAAATAACTCAAATCAACTAATACATTTAAGCCTACTATGCATTTTGCAGTCAATGTTGAATATTGTGAAGGGTAAATTAAGTATTCCATATTCTCCTCAAACTCTAAAACACAAATCTAATCCTATCACTGTCCATGTCCAAAGAAACTTTGATTCCTCCCTTGTGCAAAGTGAATAGTTGAGGATATCCAATATTTTTAAATATAAGGACAACATTTTAATGTAAAAATAAATTAACTTTAGTGTCTTGTAGTTGAAAAATACATGTCAAAAAGCTGCTATAAATTTAGTCACATTTTCCATTTGTATTTATGAACCATAGCTGCCTATGCATACCTTTATATATTCATATATGTATAAGATATTACTTATTTGGCCAGCAGACAAAGCCCTTTATTCATCTGTAGAATTTCAGACTCTTGTCAATAACTAAAGGCCCCCAGTATTTCCAAGCACCACAGAATGTAATTTACTGTTCTATTAACCTAGAAATCAAAGTTTCTTTAATAGGGGAGGCAGTATCCTCTGCCTTATGTACCATTATAATCTTCAGACACTATACTCTTCAAGTTAATAATTTTTAAAATTTGAAAACCTACTATGTAAATCACTATGCTAAATGTCAAGAATCTAAAAATTAATAAACACCCCCAAGGAGCTTACCAATTTATATAGATGCACCAATTTCTTTAAAAATAATTACTGCTAAATGCATGTTAATAGAAGAGCCATGACTAAACTGCAATAGAAGGGTAAATAAAGGAGTAAATAACAAGAGTCACAAATGAGGCACTAGAAAGGATGGACAAGAGACCACCAAAGAAACAAAAAGCATTTTAACAATAGGTGCGGTAAGAGCAAGATACATATATTTATTCAACTAACAGTTATTGCAAGCTTACATATGATATTAGAAATAAGTAGAGTAAATACCTGCAGAGGAAGGGTAGTGATATGGAGCAGGTACAAAAGGAATGTTTCTGAGATGCTTCTAATAATCTACTTCTTAGTCTAGATGCTGTTTTCATGCTATGTATTTGCCTTGTGAAAATTCATGGAGTTTACATTTATCATTTATTTACATATTTTGCAATATATGTTATATATCAATGAAATCTTCCACACACAAAAAAAAACCGTAAGTCCGGGCAAAACTGGAAATGGTACTTTCCCCACTATGCCTTTGTTTAAGCTATTGTTTCTGATCAAGAAACCTTTCTTTTCATTTCTGTGTATATATTAACCCAGTACAAATCTTCATTGTATCCGGGCACAATTAAGTTCTCCTCAAGTTACTTTTATAACAATGATCATAGCCTATCTTGTGTATAGCTATGTAAAAGTCTTTTCTTACTCCACCCAAAACTGTGTTTTTGAAGACTTTTGTTAACGTTCTTCCTAGTGCACTAGCTCACATATAATGCTCAAATACTGTTTGCTTAATTGACTAAAATATGTGAAGTAAGCCTCACCTAAAAGAACCTAGAATTCAGACAAATATGTATTAAAAAACTGTAACATAGTCAAGGTCTACAAGCTTAAAGAGACATTCAAAGTTGTCTTTAATCATATGCAGGAAGCTTTCACAGAGAAGATGGAATTGAATTGAATAATAATTTTAGATAGATGGAAGGGGGGACTGCAATCATTCCAACAATGTAATTCCAGGGAGAAATGCAAATTATTACATTCCTGTACCAGTGACTATTGCTAAGTTACAAAGCACCCCAAAATTTAGTGGCTTACAAAGAGCATATTTAATCATGAATATCCAATCTGAGTTTGGTTCAACTGGGTGGTTCAGTTGGTTGGTTCTTCTGTTCTTATTTTGGTCATTCATGTAAATTTAATCAACTGCTGGTTCAACTGCAGCTGGCCAAGATGACTTCAATCACATGTCTGTCATCTCAGATGAGAATACAGAACAGTTAAGGACTAATTGGGTAACTCTCTCCATGTGATCTCTTTAGCTGGGTAGCTTTGATAGCAGCAGGAGGCAGACAAATACCCAGGCAGAAAGGGGCAAGTCCCCGGTGAAACTCAACCATCAAACCCAAGACGACCTAAAGTCTGAAAACTGAGCTACCAGAGTCCACGACTGAAGCGAGAACTTCCTCAATGCCTTTTAGTCCATCAAATGATGCTTTTTCCAGGCCTGCCCATGGATCAATCAGCGTACATTCCCCTATTCTGAGCCTATGAAAACCCCATACTCAGCTACACATTGTACTACCCACTTTCAGGCCTGCTCTCACACAGAGGGCCACCTGCTCTTGGGTCCCCTCTCTGCTGAGAGCTTTCCTCCTGCCACTCAATAAGATTCTACCCACCTTGCTCACCCTCCAAAGTCCACATAACCTCATTCTTCTTGGTTATGGGACAAGAACCCAGAGCCTGCTGAAAAGTGGGAACATAAAGGGCTATACCACTTTCTTGGCCAGCTTGCCAAGTTGTGGGCAGTGAAACACTCCCATTTGCTGGACTACAGGAATGAAGAGCAAAAATGCTTCTGGGGACCCAGACCCTGGAATTCCCCAAGATAGAACTATAACACTGTAACCCTTCTGTCCTCTTCCAGCACTGGGCTGCCACCCAACATGATGGGATGCAGTGGCAGCAGGGCCGGGCCAGCCCAGGAGCTACAGCTGGAGCAGGATGGTGGGACCAAACAAGCTATGAAAGGCTCCCAGTCGCCGAAGTGTGTGGATGGCAGGAACAAATGATCTGTAACACAAACAAGCTGTAACATTTCATGGGGGGCTCAGTGCTCAGGACTCCCTGACCGAAATGTGGTAATACCTCTTGGGGCTCTGCGGTTGCTGTCATCTCCGAGTTATCAAGTGCTACTGCATCCCCCTCATCCAGACAACAATGCCCAAGGCAGAAGCCATTCAAGGAAGCATGCCTGGAGCAGTCATGGGCTGAGAGCAGAGCCAGCAGGTGAGATCCAGGCCAGTAGCATAAGCCAAATGCAGCCTGCCAGCCTGAGTGGGTGGAACAAGCCCAGTGAGCACAAGCAAAACTCGGGCAAAGGCGCCATCAGCCACAAAGGTTTCTAGCTGGTGAAGATGCACCAAAAGAATCCTATGTCAGCTAGACTTCTTTTCTGGTGCTTACAATGCTCAAGACGTAGCACTCAAGAAGACAAGCCCCAACGTGCAAGTACTTATATCAAGATTTGCCCATGTCCCAATGGCTAAAGCAAATCAAATGGCCAACCCCAGGTCAGTGTGGAACATGACAACACAAGGGCATGAATCCTAGGAGGTGTAGTTCATTGGGATAGCCAGTATAAGCAAAATTATTTGACCTTCCTAACCTTTAGAGTTCTCAACTACAAAATGTAGCTGCTGTAATGATTTTGTGAGATAAAAATAAAACATGGAGGTAAAATAGATAGAACAAATATGGCAAGTAGGAGAGTCCAATAAATGTTAGTTCCTTTCTCTACATTTCTTCAATCCCCAAAACGCTCCATCCAAAAAAGAACCTTAATGATGAAATTACATTTAATAATCACTTCATTCCCATATTTGCAACAGCATTCCATGGACATTTTGGCTGCAGGGAGCAGGGGCTCAGATGCTATCTTGGTGAATAACATGGTTTGGCTTCTGTCCACACCAAATCTCACCTTGAATTGTAATAATTCCCACATGTCATGGGTAGGGCCAGGTGAAGATAATTGGATTATGAGGGCACTTTCCCCCATACTGTTCTCATGATAGTGAATAAGTCTCATGAGATCTGATGATTTTATAAATGGGGGTTCCCCTGCACAAGCTCTCTTGCCTGACACCATGTAAGATATGACTTTGCCCCTCATTCATCTTCAGAAATGATTTTGAGGCCTCCTTAGCTATGTGGAACTGTGACTCCATTAAACCTCTTTCCTGTATAAATTACCCAGTCTCAAGTATGTCTATTAGCAGCATAAGAACAGACTGATACAATGAGAGAAGTTAAAAGGTCAGTTCACATGGGGTCTTGCAGGCTTCTAACCAGTGAATTTAATAGTACACCGGCCCACATGCACCCACTTGCCTCCACTGATTGGCATAAGGCCTGGAAATCCTTCTAAGCAATTAAGTAGGGGCATTAAAAATGGAATCTTTTCTACTACTACTATTTAACACATATAAACATGGGATGAACTGGGAGAGTCCCGAGAGGAACAATACTGTCTGAAAGGACTAGAAGGAAGAATATTAAATAAAGTGAAAATGCTTACAATATAACATTAAAGGAAAAAAGGAAGATACCAAGCTATACACACAGTGTGACTGCCATTGCATTTAAAGAGAAAGGGAGGCGGAAAGAAAAAAGTCTAGAAGGAAATATAATAATGTATCAAAATGTTAAAACTGATCTTTAGACAGCAGGGTTACAAGTAACTTTTACTTTCTTTCAGGACCTTTTTGTGTTTTCTAACTTTCCTGCAACCAATACATTTTTATAATCATCACAGAAGTAACAAATGTCACTGTTTAATTATCATAATAGTTTCAGCTTGTTTATTGAGAAAAAAAAAAAAAGAAAGGACTATGCACTAAGCAAAGAAATTTTAAATTTAGAAGTCATAGCCTTCTCAAAAATTATTTTATTAAAAAGATGGTAACCACATAGGAATTATAGTACTAATAAATATAGTTTATGTATTATTCTTAGAAATTTAAAAATTAGTGCTGGACAACTAGCAGAAATAATCCAATATTTGATAGTAGGAGTAAATTAAAGGCTATTAAAAGTGTCCTTTAGACTAACAATTATATTCATATTAAGTTAACTGTAGTTAAAAAAACACATACCATCATCATTTTTGTCCAGACTATTAAATGCCAGCTTCATTTTCTTCTCATGGTCTTGAAGATACTGCATAAATTCTCTGAAGTCCAATACTGCATCGTCATTGGTATCTCCAGCCTTAAAAATTACCTACAAAAAAGAAGAAACTAATTGCATAGACGTACCATAAGTAAAGCCACTATACCATGCTAACATGTACACATTTCACTTATCATAATTGTGATTTCCATAAGCATCCATTATTCTAGCTTTTCAGTCACAGCTGCAAGACTAAGTATATTAAGTGATTTTAAAATTTGTGTAATAGTAGATTATGTAGTCACAATGCCATTTCAAATAATTATAAAGCCATTAGTAAGTATTTACCTGAGGTAAACAATTAATGCCAAGTACCTCAAAGGGATAATGACACTTACATACATAGCCTTTGCCATTGGAGACCTGAAAAATCTGTTAACTAAATGAGATAAAGTAAGTGGAATTCCAGTATGTCCCTCAGCATAATGCTTTGAGACCTAGCCTTATAAAGTGTGAGGGTATATTCAAGTCCTATTGGAGCCTTTTGCTTTTTTAAATAAAAATTTATAACAGTTTTTTTACAGAATAAGGGAAACATTTATTTAAAATATTTAACTGTCTAATACAGTATTCTTACAAGGAAGAATAAATGGCTTTATGATATAATTAGTATAAGAAATATCCACATGGGAGATTTCTTGCTAGTGTAAAAGCACCATACATCTGAAATGACCATGTGAATATAAAAGCTTCCAATGATGCTTCTGTGCACAATGATTAAAAAATTCAACACAAACAGCATCCAAAATATACAATTAATGTAAGCTATCCACAGATAGCCCAATAATCAGTGATGAGGAAACACTGGAGCAGGCTTTGTTCCACTGTGTCTGAAGTTACACATGGTAAGATTGACTTGTATCAATGGCTCTGAGATGGCCTTTATGAAGTCAGTACATAAAAGCTATTCTCTCCTTATCCGGTAAGCTTCACAGACTGTAAAATTCCACCAGTAATGCACTTTGATACTATAGTTGTTGCCAAAGCAACATGTAATGTTTATAGTGGCCATGGCAAGTTGCTCAAGTCAACAGGGCCACTCAGTACAGCATCTGTTTCCAAGAGGCTCATGATGACAGTCATTGCTGCTTCATCATTACTGGGACTACTTGATCCTTGGTCATTGTCAATCATGTCTATACCTATGTGGGGGTTCTCACCAAGAATAGAAGGACTATCAGAATGTGGATAACCTGGGTTCTCCTGTGGCCAAGTAACCTGATTCAAATAAGGTGACTGTTTCAAAGGGGAGGGGAGATGTTTTGACCCTCCTACCTTTGAAGCAAATACTTGCCTTACCTCCAAAACTGGCTTCCTGTATCTGGCCCGAAGACTAAAGAGGAGTCCAGAAGGTTTGGACTTCTAACAAGAAAAGAAAGAAAGAAAGAAAAGAAAGAAAAGGAAGGAAGGAAGGAAGGAAGGAAAGAGAGAGAGAAATCTCACAGATAAAGAGCTTTACGATCTTTGATATTACTCCCAAGATTCAATAGGAGTAATATCTGAAGACCTCTGCTAAGCATAGATGGAGAATAAATAAAATAATTTTTTTCTCTTGATATCCTGAAACTTCCATCTAAATAGTTTTAAAATAATCAAGTCAAGACTGGCCTAGAGGAGAAAGGCATTCCTAATTTAGGTGAGGTTCTAAAACAATCAGCTGAAGTGTAAACCCATGGATCAAAGTCTGACTTCCCATAGACCTTGGGGTGAAGCACACTGGCCTGGGCAGAGAACCCCCTAAGAAAAGTGATGGTCCTTTACTTCTGCACAAAGGCTCTAACATGGCCCCTGACATTGTGGGCTGGTTGCCTAAATGTTGAACCAGTCACCAGAAACAGCATCTCCCCAAAAGTCCTGGAGGCCTTTGTTACGAAGAAAAGTAGCTTTTTTTTTTTTAAACGGAGTTGTGCTCTATCGCCCAGGCTTACAAGTTCAAGCTATTCTCCTGCCTCAGCCTCCCAAGTAGCTGGGATTACAGACGCACACCACCAGGCCTGGCTAATTTTTGTATTTTATTTTGTATTCGTATTTTGTATTTTGTGGAGACGGGGGTTCAGCATCTTGGCCAGGCTGGTCTCGAACTCCTGACCTCAGATGATCCACCCGCCTCAGCCTCTCAAAGTGCTGGGATTACAGCCACGAGCCACCGCGCCTGGCTGGAAAGTGGCCATTTTAAGAAGAAGGTGAAGAACATGTTTCGCTGGGTCACTTTATTCTGCGTGACGAGGCTCACAGAGGAGAACCCCTCCCTTACTCCAAAGCATCTCTGGGAAGGGCAGGGTTGGCTTCGCCCTCAGTCCAACGTCTCTCCAGACTGCCGATGCCAACTTCCGGTCGCTCACCTCATCGGAGTTCGGGTAAAACGCGGAGCTCCAGTTTCTCAGTCCCTCCTGGAGCTCGATGATGTCCACCACGCCGTCCCCATTGTGGTCCAGGTCTTCGAAGAGGATCCCGTAGCGTAAGTAGTCATCGTCATCCTGGCAGGCCACCGCCTCCAGCAGGAAGTCCTGCAGCCAGCGCAGCATGGCCGGGTCCGGAGGCCGCGGGGACCGCTCGGCCCGCTCGCCCGCACCGCGGCACTCGCCGTCGCCGCCTCCACGCCCGGCTGCCCACGGCAGGGGGTCCCGGCCGGCCGTCGCTTCCCATGCTGCCTGGCGAAGGCGCCGCGGTTCGGAGCTCGCGCGGGCCAGGCCACCGGCGCCTGCGGGCTCTCGGGCGCCGCGGGGGGACCCTCGGCGGAACCTCGGGGCGCCACCTTGTGGGATCCCTGGCCGAGGGGCCACGCGACAGTTGAGGCGCCAGATGTGGGTTGAGGTGCCAGACGTGGTGGCGTGGGGTACCCAGGACTGCTGGACGGGCGCTCGACGCGGGAGCCGAGGGACGTTTGGAGAAAGGGAGCGCATTCCCCAGGCGGCGTCCAGAGGGCGCTCGCGGGTGTGAGATTCTCCCGGCACAGACTCGGTGCCCGCCGGAAGTCACTGTGGCGGGAAATGAGGCAGGGAGTGAGTCCCGCAGACCCGCTCTCCTGATGCCGGCAGGTACTGATGCCAGTACCCTGGTGCCACCCTTGCTCCCAGGAGGACCTGCACCTGGGGGTCGGGACCCTGGCGACCCCGCAAAAGAGGTCTGAGGAGGGGAGGTCTCCTGAGGAGCTTCTGCCCTGTCCCTGTCTCTCTTTCCCTCCCTGCCAGCCCAGCCCTTGTTGGCAAACCTGTTTTGGCCATAATGCGATTAGACTCTTCACGTTCTTATATAAACTTTTTCCAGTTAATTGAGTTGTATGCAGAAATACTTCTATCCCTGTTAGTAAAATAAAAATAAATAATAAAGATATACAGATTAAAATTAGAACATTTCTCCAAATCCAGAAATATGAAACACACATCATAACAGTTCCAATTTATATGCCACTTTTCCATTCATGAATTTTGCTCTAAAACAGAGAAAAAATAAATAGCAAAATAAAGTAGAGCTGAAGAATTCAGAGTATTTTTCCACTATGCATTTATTTTAAATCAATCTCTGATTTGTATTATCTATAGAGCTATTGAGGGATCCAGTTGCCATTTATTTTTCCTCTATATTTCAGAATAGAAATTCATTGATATGAATTTATATAAACTTGTTTATACAAGGTTAATTTCTAATTGCTTTTTAATTATGAAGCATGGTAACCCATAATTTCTCAAGATGTGCTTTATATTAGTCACATTTATGTGACCTTTAGGAACTTGATTTTAAGTCTAAAATGCTTCTATTAATCCTATTAAGAAAAAAAAGGGAGGCTGCGCACAGCGGCTCACACCTTAAATCCCAGCACTTTGGGAGGGGGAGGCAGGAGGATCAGGTGTTCAAGACCAGACTGGCCAACGTGGTGAAACCCTGTCTCTACTAAAAAATACAAAAATTAGCTGGGCATGGTGGCACGTGCCTGTAATCCTAGCTACATAGGAGGCTGAGGTAGGAGAATTGCTTGAACCCAGACCCTGTAGGTGGAGGTTGCAGTGAGCCGAGATCACGCCACTGCACGCCAGCCTGGGCTACAGAATGAGAATCCATCTCAAGAAAAAAAAAAAAAAAGAAAGAAAGAAAAAAAAAATGGGAGAATCTGACTAAAAATTGACGTTGGCTACTCAAGTTTATCTCAATTGTGCATTTATATTCATTTCAATTTGTAGAAAATTTAACAATTTATTCCATGATTAATCATTTATTAAGTACCCTATTGCTTAGAAAATTAAATTTCTCTGATTTCACAGCAAATTCAATCATGGCATTTAACAAGAGGGAAAAAGATTATATTAAATATTCTTTTGAATTTCAACAACCCTGTGAGAGTAGATTTTACCTACATTTTAATAACTTTGAGAAGTATGATACAACCCCAAATATTAAAGTAACTGAAACTCTGTAATCTATACAGTGGCAGAAACGTCTATGTCCTGAAAAACTGGAAAAAAAATGGACTCATCTAATGTAGTTACTGGTTGTTTGATATATTATAAATTATGTAATTTATAGTTATATCCATTAAATCTCAATTTTAAACCTATCTAATCTTTCTAATGTAGCTATACATACACATCTTAAAATATCTTTAGCCTATTCTCTCTCAATAAAAATTGAAAAGATAGAGGCAAAAAAAAAGCAGGGATGGATAAAAACACTCTTCATCCTTCATACAAGATTAAGATTGTAAAGGGAAGTTCCAGTCAGCCTTTTAGTAGGTCAGAGTCTGAACGTAAAGTATAAAGTACATAGATTAAAAAAAGAAAAGCACAGTCTTTTTTGCCCTTTTTAACACAGATTTGAGTGTAAGAGCTCACACGTTTTTCTGAATTACTTTGGTCACATTGGTGACTTTCTTGTAATGTTTATAATGTTGGTGAGAGGTCACCATTATTCTATTCACAAGACTGGTAGGAGACTGAGGTATTCTGATGCCATGAAAGTCTGTTTAGCACTTTCTGTTTTGCTCTGTTTATTTTAGAGAAAGAAAAGGAGTCCAAACTGCACTGTTTGGCTATGAATCATAATTTTAAATGTGTGAGTTTTCCATCAGTGCTTTCAAACAGATTTAAAATATGCACATATGGCAAGGAGAGGTCAAAAAGAAAAATAAATTTAAAATGCACATAAAGTGCTGACATTTTAGCTTTTTAAAATACAAAGTAGAAAATTCAGAAAAGCTTCAAAATAGTCCAGCTCTTTAATATGAAATTATACTAGGTTAATTATGTAATTAGGTTACATTCTGTATTATAAACTATATCTTAATCCACTTAAATGCAAATTTCTATGACTGTTCATGAAAATTTGGAGAACTACAAATAGATTTTATGAATATTAAAGATTTTAATTCACCCAGAAATTAATAAACTATATTTCTGGTTTACTTAAAATTTAATATTTAAGTCTAATTGTATGTTTATCTTATGGGAAAATGGATATAGCATCTTTACATACAGACCTTTTGAAAACTAAGGAAAAAGCCAAGACATTTTTATATTTATAAAAAAATGTCCAGATATGACAGTTCAAGGTTTAATTTCTAAAATATTGCCAAGAGTGGTTTTCCTGATTCATAAACCACACAGTTTACACATACTGAAGTAAGAAACTTTAAGAAATGTGGAGTCATGCCTTGGAAAAATCCTTCCTGTGACTCCACTCCTTTTATAAATTTGAGAAAATAAGCTGATCATATTTAGCTGTGGGACTCCTACTATGGCTGGAGAATGCAAGGGAAGGGAAAAGTCCAATTAATTTGATATTTTAGCTTTCCTTTGAACACTAAGTTAAAACATGCAGAAACAGATAATAAAATAAACTTAATTAAATATTTCACAAGGATACCCAAGGGAAACTCTCTGGTTAAATATACCATATAGTCAGGGCCTCTGGTGGAACTATTTGATGCTCATCACTATTTACTTTTCCTTCCTTTTAGGAAAAAACGTCTGACCACTAATGGTGAAATTTACTTATAATTATTGTGGAGTTACAATTTTAAAAGTTCTCGAGACATACAAAGGTACCTTTATTGAACATCTCATGTCTTAAGAACATATCAAATTCAGAAACAAACAAAAATATGCTTCTCATTCCATGCGTCAGTTTTCAGGGAATAGCTGCACCATTCATATAGCTTCAGAAACTGGAAACCTGGAAGGCATACATGACATTTCCCTCTCCCTCATCTTACCATCTAAACCATCACCTATCAAGATCACTCTTCAAGTCTCTCTCAAATCCATCCACTTGTCTTCATGTCCACTGCCACACCTTCTGTCTCCAAACTACCATCATCTCTTGCCTAGACTGTTGTAACTACCCTACTCTTTTTTTTTTTTTTTTTTTTTTTTTTTTTGAGACGGAGTCTTGCTCTGTCACCAGGCTGGAGTGCAGCGGTACAATCTCGGCTCACTGCAACCTCCGCCTCCTGGGTTCAAGCGATTCTTCTACTTCAGCCTCCCGAGTAGCTGGGACCAGAGGTGCGTGCCACCACGCCCGGCTAATTTTTTGTGTTTTTAGTGGAGATGGGGTTTCACCATGTTGGCCAGGATGGTCTCGATCTCTTGACCTCGTGTTCCTCCCACCTCGGCCTCCCAAAGTGCTGCGATTACAGACGTGAGCCACTCTTAACATTTTTTTCCTCTATCCTTTAACCAGAGTACACTTCCAACAATGTACATCGAATACTTTCCTGCCTCAGTAATTTCCCGTTATGCTTAAAGACAATATCGTTTGACCTCTGTTTCCTCCTCCCAACTCACCTGTACAACTCTTGCTTTCTGCACTACAGCCATGCAAGCTATTTTTCAGTTTCTCAAAGTGCCCCATGCTTCTTCCGGCTCATTACACATGCTTTTCCCTTTGCATGAAAGTCATTCCCTGTTCTTTGCCCATTTAACTTCACCTCAGCCTTCAGCTCTGAGTTCAAGGAACACTTTTGCAAGAAAGACTTTCCAAAACTTCCTCATTTCCCCCTATTACAGCCCTCAGAGAACACTATTTTTCCTCTGTAGCTATAATTGCAGTTAACTATATATTTTTATAAATATTTGATTAATATCTGTCTTCCCTACTAGACTACCAATTCTGTAACAGCAGGATCTCTTTTTTTTCACCCAAAACCCATGTGTTTGGCACATTGCACAGTGCCTGGCAACTTTAAATTCTCAAATTACAATAGCTAGTATTTTTCTCTCTAATCTTTATATTATGCTAGCATTTTTCTCTCTAATCTGTATGTTATGATCCCAAAAGTGGCGTAGCTAAATACAGTAAAATCAATAGATAACCGAAAAGTCTTTCACTATTTGTTTTAGTCTAAACATTCTATCCCTCCTCCTACCCCCACAAGAAATTAAATCACTCCTCTAAAAGGTAAAGAAGATCCCTTGAAAATTTAGAAAATATTTACTTGCCATGAAATTTCTTCAAAATTGTTCTATTGCTTATGCATCTTTTTGTTTTTTTAATCAGAAACTAATAACATCCCCTCCAATTTCTATAGTTTTGTAATGAAATTGTAAACTTTATCTTTTTCTAATGTTCATCTTACTTTGCTCATTGATTTTCTCCCAACTTATTATGAAA